CATGCATGGTAGAACTCTCCAAGGGTAGGGCTGGGGTGCCCACTAGCTCAGACATACCTATAGGCACCAGAATAGAGGTGCACAGACAGCAAGGGACCAGTGAACAGCTACCAAAAGAAAAGAATGTCCACACCTTTATCTCTGCGGTTCTGCCAGGCGTCCGTCTGTGGCTGCTCTGATCCTTCCGCCGCTTGGTCTTACCCAAGATGGTGGCTCCTGGAGCAGCTGAGCGTCCTGACTAGAAAGCAATGGATTTCTTGCTTCTGCCACAAAGTCCCCAAGCTGTAAGCCTTCCAACCTTCTAAATATTCCTTTATATGTGGTTCAGAGTTCTGGAACCCTCCCCTGAGCCAGCTTGGTCGGGTATTCTGTGTTGTTGTTGGCATAGCTCTTTACAACACTTCCACCTGATCCACCATCTTGTTTGTTCTCTCCATTATCTTTTAATTCAATTTTTCAATGAACATTTTTAAGCTCTTTTGTACATGTATATATATATTTTAATATTTAATTTTAAATGATGTGATAGTTTACATGGGAGAACATTAGTTTTACATTGATTCTATCAAATATTGTTTCATTGCATGGTTACAATCACCTCCATGCATCATCAACCAACCAAAGGGTATACTACAGTTACCAAATATATGTATATATATATATATATACACTATAGTTACCAAAAGTAACTACAAACTTGCACCCTGGTCGTCAGGGCACAGCCCCTCTCCCTCTCTGCAGTCAAAGTCCCCAGCTGCTCCATCTCTCCACGACATCATCTCTGCCTCCATCTCTGGCGTCACTGCTTCTCTGGGTATGGTCCCGCTCTCCACTCTTCTCCATTAATGGTCCTAGGGACCTCTGCTCCTAGACTGTAAAGTTAATCACTCCCTGCTTGTTATAAAACGTCTACCTGTACATTTCCAACCCTCACAATCAGTCCTGATAACAATTATTCATTATTATATCACAAGAGACCTATCCACATTTCCTTTCATCAGCCCCACCTAAACATATTGCATACTACTCAGAGGAGAGTCTACCTTCCTCCATGCCCTCCGGATCTAGGTTCCCTCTTGAAAGCTTGTAAGCCAGTCACTTCTTGCCTTTGTAGTCCCCCCATTTTGGGTAGCCAATGTCCAAGTTGCCCATCCCAGTGTGCTCTGTGTATGGAGGGGTTGGGAATGATCCTCGCTGTAAAGATTTGTTCCCTCTTTTGAGCTACTGCATCAATAGGTATAGGTCAAGTTCATCAAATTGTAT